TTTCACAACCTGGCTCCGCTGTAAGAGAAACTGTTCTTCAAATAATTGGTACGGGGCTGCGGAAGGTCTGTCTTTTTTTGTTGTTGTTGTTGTTGTTTTTTTTTTATCAGCTAGTTTTCGCAATGAAATATGATACATGTTTTTTTTTAATATTTGTTTATAGCTCACCATACAAGGGAAAATTGGTCAGCCGGGATACTCAGATATTGCAATTGACGACGTGTACATCGACCCTGGGTTATGCAGTAAGTTAACGTTGTACCTTGGTTGCAAGTTACAGGTAGAAGTAATTTATTTGTTTATGTAGAGCGAGAGACTGTTAATCACCGGCGCATCTGGAAAACCGAATATTTGAGAGAAACAAAGCAACTAGTAAACGAGCAAACAGATAGAGAAACAGACAGACCAACAGAGAGGCAGTCAGACAAAGGCAGTCAGTCAGTCAGACGGACAACAGACAGACAGACAGGCAAAATGTGTTAAACACGGAAGACCGTGTTTGATCACATTTCCAAACACCGAGAATAGAGTTGAAATACGACGCGTAGCGGAGTATTTTTGAAGACCTTTTGGGGTGTCTGGAAATGTCGTCAAACACTGTCTTGAGTTTTTGATGTATCTTCTCAATCGCAACTAAAAATAACGAGAAAACGAATAAACGAAATCGTAAAAGTCTATGCTATCTAATATCAGATGTCCAAACGCCGTCACTGTCATGATTTACGTTGTATTGTGACGAGACAGTCAGTTCATGATTTAATAATAACTAGCCCAAAATCGTTCATCGATCATCAGGCTGTCAAGATGAGTTTCACACCTGCCACATCTGGGCCGCTAAAGGAGAATGCACTGCTAACGAAGTCTGGATGAAACAAAACTGCAAGAGAAGCTGCAACGTTTGCAGAGGTAAATTGAGAAAGCTGCACCTTAAAATGTGTTTTCCAGAATATCGTGTGCATTTAAATCAAACTCGTTTCTTAATCCAACAATCGGACGATATAAAGAATGTTCCTCTTTCCTCTTGGTTTGGATTGCGCCCGAGGAAATAAACATAATCACTTCAGCACTATATCACCTGATGCAGATTATTAGCAAAATTAAATTGGAGACTAACCCTTAGGGCAACAAGGTAGGAGAAATCTGATGCATAAAAAATATTCTGATTTAACCTGGCGGAAAATGGTATTTAAGAGCTCCATTTTTTTTAAAAGCACTGTAGTTGAGGTATTTGTCATGATTAACAAAAATAGTATAATAATATAACAACGTAGTAAATCACATTGCAGCCAGGAGCTTTTTTCTGTTCGTCACCGTTTTTTTTTGTTTTTTTTTTCTGTCGTAAAGCCTTTTTTAAAGAAACGCCTGATGCAATATTCTGAAAGCAAGGACAAATGAATTTAACGTATTTAAAGTGTTTCTCCCCAAATT